AGTAGCAGCCAGTCCTCTTTTTTTTATCTGGCTAGACTGGTTGCTACTATTAAGAAATTAATTAACTGGCTTGCTCCCAGTACAAATACTTGAAATGGAAGTAAGTTGAAGTTAAAAAGTACTTCTTTTGCTTTCTTCAAATAGTAGCAGCCTTAACTTCTTTTCTACTTTCTTCAAATTCTTGCAGCTTAACTTCTTTTTCAAATTATCCTAAAACAAATATGATTATTTAGAAGAGAAAGAAACATGAAGCTGAATGGAAAACAGTTTTGTTCTAATGTATAAATTTTTGAAAATTATTACTTTTTAACTTTAACGATTTTAACCTTACTTCCAGATCCATTTCAAGTATTTGTACTAGGAGCAAGCCAGTTAATTAGTTTCTTAATAGTAGCAGCCAGTCCTCTTTTTTTATCTGGCTAGACTGGTTGCTACTACTAAGAAATTAATTAACTGGCTTGCTCCTAGTACAAATACTTGAAATGGAAGTAAGTTGAAGTTAAAAAGTAATAATTTTCAAAAAGAATTATAAATTAGAACAAATTTGAAAAAGAAGTTAAGCTGCAGCCCCGGCCGTGAGCTCCATCGGCCACCTTACCCGTTTCTGGTTGTAGTTGACGGCCAGCCGGAGCCTGGCGAGGTTTGGGATGCCCTCCTCGAAGGCCTGCTCGTCCAGCCCCTCGTCTTCCCCTGTCACCTCGTCGTCCCCGAGGTCGTTCAGCACCGCGGTCACTTCGCTCTGGTTGCGGCACATCCCCAGCAGCTCAAAGGCAAACTCCTGGCACAGCTGCTCCAGGGCCAGGTACTCCGGCTGGGCGGGGTCAGGAAGAGCCCGGGGGGAGGAAGGAGAGGGCGTGAGAGAGGACCACAGCCCTGCCCCCCGACCCTTTCGCTCAGGTGCTGGTGGGACCCCCCAGTCAAATGGGGGTCAGCATTGGGAACATGCTGCAGCAGGCCCATGGAGGAAGCAATTCCAGATGATGCTCCACACACATAAGAGCCTCAGAAGAGCCCCGCTGGATCAGACCACTTAGGGTCCATCCAGTCCAGCCTCCTGCCTCACACAGGGGCCAGCCAGTTCCTCTGGAGGGCCAGCAACAGGGCAGAGAGGCCGAGGCCGTCCCCTGAGAAGAACCTCAGAAGAGCCCTGCTGGGTCAGACCAGGGAGGATCCCTCTAGTCCAGCCTCCTGTCTCACACAGGGGCCAGCCAGTTCCTCTGGAGGGCCAACAGCAGGGCAGAGAGGGGGCTTTCCCTGATGTTGTCTCTGGCACTGAGATTCCGCGGTGGACTGCTGCCTCTGAAAGTGGAGGTTCCCTTGAGTCCCCATAGCTAGTAGCTATTCATAACCCGCTCCTCCATGCATCTATCTAACCCCCTTTTAAAGCTCTTTTTTTCCATCACTACTGGAGAAGAGGAGGGTGAGTGGGGGACAGGATGGCTCTCTTGAAGTCTTTGAAGGGCTGTCACAAAAAAGGGTGCAGACAGAATGGAGCGGGTGCAGAGGAGAGTGACGAGGATGATTGGGGGGGGGGGCTGGAGGCCAAGAGGAAGGTACTGGTTGGATCTTAGGGGAAACTTCTTGACAGGCAGAGCTGTGCCACAGTGGAGTCGGCTTCCTTAGGGAGGTGCTGAGCTCCCCCTCCCTGGCAGTCTTCAAGCAGCGGCTGGACAGACCCTGGTCAGGGATGCTCTGGGCTGATCCTGCACTGAGCAGGGGGCTGGAGTGGATGACCTCAAGGGCCCCTTCCAACTCTGTGGGATTCCATGATTTGGTGTCGTGGTTAAGGGCCTGGACTCTAACCAGGGTTGATTCCTCACTCCCTCCACTGGCACCTGGCTGGATGACCTTGGGCAAGCCCTAGTTCTGACAAGAGCTGTCCTTGAAAAAGAGCCCTTTCTGTCTGAGCTCTCTCAGCCCCACAGGGGGTGTCTGTTGTGGGGAGGGGGAGGGGAGGGAGTTTGTCAGCCGCTCGGAG